TGCCCGGGGCGGGGGTGGGGGAGATGGGGAGCACCCCGGGCTGCTCGAACGTCCCAGAGCACCGGCTCAAAAACAAGCCAACTGTTGGCGAGCACGGAAAGGGTAGACAGCGGAGAAGCCGGAGCCCGTCCCAGGTGCCGGCGCAGCGCCCAGAGGGCTCCAAAAGCAAAGCGATTGTCAGCGGTAGCTCGGCTCCTCCGCCTCCGCTCCCCCCACCCCACCGTCTAAGGGTAGGGGCCCCAAATGCAAAACTAAAACCCAGAGAGCAATCGAGAAAGCGACAGAGGCCTCCAGAGAGCAGGAGGCCAGAGGGCCCCCGAGAGAGCGTTCCCCTCGGCCTTGACTAGCAGCCCGAGGCGATCGGCGCGGTGAACGCGCGGGCTCCCAACCCTTAGGCCCCCCTCAAGTTGTATCTTGAATGCTCCTGCCAAGCCAGCCCGATCTGTCTGCCACCCACCAGCATCCAAGAGTTATGCAGATGTTTATAGTTGTTAAAAAAATCCGAGTTATACATCCTTGTATTTTTTAATACTGACTGTAAGTGATTCAAGTATAATCCTTTGTAAAACGCTTGTTCTCTTTGACACATTGAAAGGGTTGAGAGAGGAAAACCCGGCGTGGATTCCCCCGCCCCGGCCCTCCCCCCCCCACACCCCCCATACCTCCCCTGCACACCTAGAAGCGACTGTAAGCAGGACGGAGTCTTGGTGGGCCTGTGAGTGGTGAGCTAAACGAAATACTTCCCCTGCCCCTATTACTAGCATTTCAGCCAACCAACTTGCAGTGGTAACAACACATTCACCTTTTTGCCAAATCAACTCCGCCCAGTCCCCTTCCAGCGCACAGCACCTGAGGAATAAGAGGAGGAGCACACAGCCTGGGACCCTGGGCTCAGGAATGCCCGCCTGTAACGGGAGCTCTGGAGTCCTGCGCCATCACCAGGGGGCCCTGGGAACCAGACCCCCCCAGGGGCTGCTGCCTTCCCTCCCTCCCAGGCCCGCTGGAGACTGCCAGGCTTTGCTCCCTTTGGGGAGCACGCTGGCATCCATTCGGCTGAAGATCAGCCGCCTGACTCCACTGCCAGCAACTCCAGGTAGAAAGGCACACGCCGAGGGGGGCAGCCTGAGCCACACCAGCATGCTCCACAGCTGCCAGACTCCTCGGGCGGTGCTAGGGCCCTGCAGACAGAATGGTGGGCCAATGGAGTGAGCCCCCAGGCGCCTCTGCAGAATAGCAGATGGAGCGGTCCAGAGGAGCACATCTCTGTTTGGACCTGTGTGGTGCTTCCCATGGGACAAGCTGCACAGCAGCTGGCGTTGCTGGTCCACACAGCATGCAGAGAAGCCCAGTGGGCAGTGGGCAGGCCCCGTGCCCCTGGACCTCTTGGCAGATGCTGAGGCCCTGGGGCCGAGTATTTGGGAGCCTGGGCTTCCAGCTTGGATGGCCTGCTCAGAGCCCAGCCTGGGAACTCAGTCTGCAGGGCCCCGTCTGTCTGCCAAACAAGTGAAGCTGCCCATGTGGCCCGATGTCAGGCCTGATGGCCGGCATATGAGATTGGGACCAGGAGATTCCTTCAAAGGGCCACACAGTCTAAGAAGAATGAGAGGCTTTGCTGAAGAATTCCACCGACCCGTGCTGTTTGGAGCAGGCAGACACGAGTCTAATAAGAGCTTTGAAAATACAAACACGTATTCAGATTTTAATATGCCAACAGTCCCCAAACAGGGGGGGCCTGGTTATTTCAAAATCCCCTTTACGTCATGGCGTGCATTGTTCTGGGGCTGAAATGCGGATTTTCATTTGTAAAGCCCAGCATTTTATAGCCGGAAGCCCTTCAGATGAGGGTCTGTCCAAAGTCAATCCTGCTGTTGTGTCTCATTGTTCTGATCTTGATAAAGCACCATGACGATGACGTCATGTTACCCAGTGGCCAGGACATATACACACACAAGCACACTTTTATGGAGTGGATATGTTGAAGAATTGTGACTGCACCCTGGACTACCAGAACAAACCAATCAATCTTGGAGGAAGTAGAGCTGGTCAGTTTCTTAGCATTGAGGAGGGCAATAGTTGATCTCACACAGGTCGTCCCACGGACACGTTATCGGTAATGACCAGTGCTTATAAAAGGGCCTGGTTCCTGGTGCTTAGTAAAGCGGAAGGTCAGTGACATGGAGAAAGACCCCTCACAAGATGGACTGACCCAGAGGCAGAAACAATGGGCTCAAACACAGCACACCTGTGAGGTGGGGGTAGGACAGGGTGGTATGTCCTTCAACACACGGGGTCGCCATGAGTCACAGAGCAACTGAAAGACATCTAACAACACACACAGAAAGAAAAACAAAAATGAAAACCCACAGCCACTGAGAGTGATCCTGACACCAGCAACCTTTCCTTGATAGGGGTTCAGACTAAACCTTCACCGGATCCGACAGCCTCATCTTTCTCCCCTAGAGTGGCTGGTGGGTTAGAATGACCCACACTGTGGTTACCAGCCCAC